GTGTGTGTGTGTGTGTGTGTGTGTGTGTGTGTGTGTGTGTGTGCGTGTGCGCGCACGCAAATAACAAGTTTGTTTTGCTTGTCAATCTTTTGACCATTGAGTCCATTTTTTCCACACACCTGCTGCTATCGCTCTTTTTAAGCTCATCTAATGAGTCCCATTCATCCTGAGCTATGATATCCACAGATGTTTCTTAGTCCAAAACAAACAATCCCTTATTTTTGTCCTAGTCAGTATCTAAAAACACTCCCTGTAATCACCTCTAGAAATTAATTTTCTTCCTAATTCAATCCTAACATTGAGCTAGGGGAATGGGGTCTTCGTGCAATCAACCTATGCTAATGTTGTGGCTCAAGGCTATGTTGTAATTGAGCTTTAATGGTTGTAATTGGGTGATTACAGGTGATTAATGCAGCGTTAGCCCTCGCTGCCAAGCCCAACAGTAAGGTGGCCCAGGACAATATGGATTTGTTCAAGGAGCAGTGGGAGAAGCAGGTTCGCGTCCTCACTGATGCTGTCGATGACATAACCTCCATTGATGACTTCCTTTGTGTGTCTGGTAAGTCTTGTTTATTTGCATGTCATAGCCATGAGGGAACAAAAGAAGTTTTTCCAAATAGTTGTAATGGTCTGGATTTTATTATTCGTGATGCTTATAGACTAAACGCAGTGCATAACGGAGGAAAAACCTTTTTATAAGGTCTGTGGTAGTAGTGTTTCCTCGTGAGTCGCAGTCACGCTGTATACTTCTCAGATATATATATCTGATGTGGCCTTAGCAAAATGTTTACACATAGAAGACCATATTTGTCACCACTATCCACACAACAGGGTGATTGAGATTGTAGTGCGGTGCTAACCACTGTTATTTGATTTAAAATATAACGTATGTATGTAAGATGCATAAGCCATCTTAATTCTCCCTTTGTCCAACAACAAGCATCGGTTCACTCTCCAAGGTATCATTATGCGCTATAGAGAAAAACCCAGAAGCATGAGCAGAACTAAATCTCTATTTGACATCCTATCATGTATGTTGAAGCACACAAATGGTTTAGAGTCCTCATTAAGCATTAAGCAGAGTGGCTTCTCTGACCTCCAGCCAAGGACAGACTGTAATTTACACAGTGGACATTTGCATTTTATAGGCGGCTCATTAATAAGTATTCTAAGAATTGGTTTTCAAACCCATACCCTCCAACAAACGCATATTATGTACTTGAGTTTTTCAGTGGCTTTTAATTTCAGGACTAACTCAGGAATGAGAACTTCCTAATTTTTTTAGACTGTCACATTATGTGTCATATTATACTGTAGTGTTTTTGATTTAAAAAAAAAAAAGTGTGTGTGGTTGTGTGTGGAGAGGTCTGTCCGTCCGGGCTGTACACTAATAATTTCACACTGCTTTATGTCCCCAGAGAACCACATCCTGGAGGATGTGAATAAGTGTGTCATCGCTCTGCAAGAGAAAGATGTTGATGGTTTGGACCGTACCGCCGGGGCTATTCGAGGCCGTGCTGCCAGAGTTGTCCATGTGGTTACTTCAGAGATGGACAATTATGAACCTGGAGTCTACACAGAGAAGGTTTTGGAGGCAACCAAGCTCCTTACTGATACAGGTACCACAGAAACAAATAAGTTTACTACTAAATAAATTTAGACAAAAATACTGAGAGGGTAGACACGGTAACACTTGCTAATGTAGGTTACTCCAAGTAAAACGAGAAGGCAGTGGGTCCATGGGCATGGATGGCGTCATGGTTGCTGTGTCCATATTTTATATACATTCTGTGGTTAACACTTATACCGTATTTTCCGCACTATAAGGTGCACTTAAAATCCTTTAATGTTCTCAAAAATCAGCAGTGCGCCTTATAATCTGGTGCGGCTTATCTATGAATTCTGGCTGTTTACTGACTTCGAGCCGATTTTATGTGATACACGCCACTCAAAAATCTGTCAAAAAATGTTTTAGTAGGACTTTGCTAAGCTACGAAGCCGCACCGCTTGATGGATTGTCTGAGCGTTATGGCTACCGTAGTCAGGAGCCTCGCGGCTCATAGTAATCTGGGTCCAAAACTCAGTCCGCGTCAGGTCCCAAAGTCAAACAAACACTGTGTAAATTCTTTCATCTTTAATAAAATGATCAGTGCTGCTGCTTTACCAGGTGTAACAATTAAGTTTAACATCCAGGCTTCCATGAAAACAGAATATATTAAATTTAACGGAGTTAGAAGTTAGCAGAAAGTTAGCTCGCTAGTTTCGCTAGTTACCTAAACACGATATACCATGTTCTGACTGAGAGATTTCTGGGGGAAAAAGAAAACGTACAGCTCTGCTATCACTTCCAACATGAATCAAGACAGAAAACTACACAATAGTGACGTTTGTAGGGTTACTGAAGTTGGGCTAGATGGTATATAATGCTGTGCTAGTGATCGCTAGCGACACAGCTATGTTAGCATACCAAAGCATAACACAGTGAACCTGGAGAATGAACGCTAACTTTTTTCCACTTGATAAAAGTTCCCAATGTGTTTTTCTGACAAATGCAATTGCATGGAAAATTGCTGTAAACGGACCAAACTTCAGTAGTGGAGAACAACTGAGATAATCCAGCCACAATATGAGGTTAGTCATTAATATAAGATAACCTTTATTAGTCCCACACGTGGGAAATTTGTTTTGTTACAGCAGAAAGTGGACAGTGCAAAGTTACATAGCAAAAGTTAGAAAAACACTAGAACAACATGTACTGTTGTTCCAGTGTTTATAGAGCAGCTACCAGCAAATTCAACATTAATGAATCAATTGTAAGGAAGTGGAGGAAGCAAGAGGAATGAGTTGAGTAAAGTTTGACTTATCTGACTGTTTTGTTTCGTTTAATGCGCCTTATAATCCAGTGCGCCTTATGTATGAAAACAGACCCATTTGTCGACAGTGCGCCTTATAATCCGGTGCACCTTATGGTCCAAAAAATACGGTATTTATGATCTACTTACATGGACTGACACACTAGGGGCCATAATGGCATGAGCGTGATAGTCTTTCTTTGATGTCAGTCTTGTTTTTGTGTAAAAACGGTTGACAAGAGTATAAAAAGATTAACTACAAAAGGGCTTTAAAACAATAGGGTCCCCCGGTTTAGCTCTTGCAGACTAGGAGAATCTGTAGATCACAAGTTTGTTTGTTTGTTCTTTCCTAAGATTTCATTTTTATTTTGAGAATAGCTTTAGTTGCTTTCAAGAATGAGCTTATTTTGGTTATGCTATTTATTATAGGTGGTGGTAGTGCTAGTACAATACAAACTCAGCACTTTTTTACAAACAGAACCAGAGGTATGCATGTTTAGACAAGTTGTCTGTAATATGGTGCACTGCACTGTTGGAGTATTTGTGTACAAATTAGTAGTCATACAAATGTATAAAGAATTTCCTTTAATTTATTTTATCAAAAGGCCTCTAAAATCTTTACTTTTTATTTTTAAAAAGGCGGAGAGACCCTGCTCCATCCACTTTATCTTTGGTACATTGCCTGGTGCTAAAGCCACACTAGTATCTGCCTACAAAGTTGTTTCTCAGAAGTCTGCCCTTTATTTGATTTGTCTTTGCTTTGGATGTTTTTGAGCATTTGAATGCTGGTGGCATTTTAAAAAGCAACTTGTATAAATCTAGAATTGGCTTGTGAAATGCAATTTTCTGTTGAATGAGCCTGAGACATTTTGAGCTCTTCCACAATTCATTATGGTGCGTTGTGTGATATGGTCTCTCACATAACTTGCATTACTAGTCAGTATGACATGACAGTCACTGTTAACCCTTCAGTAGTATTCAGTTTTAATCCAAATTATGATGTAATCAATCTGTCATAGGGTCAAAGACTGAGTCATATTATATTTCCTTCCACCTGTGCTGTTATATTGCAGTTTAATGTGAAGGTTTTTTGTCCTTCAAATGACAAATTCCAAAAAATATTTTGCAATGCAATAGAGAGGGGGGGGGGAAATATTCACCAGGGCAAAAAAATCTTTATTAGCCTCTATTTTCAGTTTGTCTGAATGTTGAGGTGCATTTATACAATGTTTTCCTCCAGTTAGTAAAAATGTTTAAAGTTCATTATCTATGGATTCACTAACAATACAGTTATTTATTAACACTTTTTTTTAAATGGGAACTTACTTGAAAGAGTCAATTGTGATAGTTTAAGGAGAGTAATCACTGTGACTGAAAAAGCCTGGAGGTTGCAAGCACAAAACCAAATCCGCTTTTTAATCCTGCTGCTCCCTCCCTCAACATTTGCATCTTGACACCCATGCTGTTCTCATGAAGTTGCAGCAAAATGAACTCTCTTAATGCAGTGCTTTAAGTGGTGTCTATGCATATGTCCTGGTGAGTCCTCCAGAGCATTTATCAAATTGTCAGGAGTGCAAAATACATGGACCCTGAGACAGTTTTTTGAAAGCATCTATTGGAAAATTTTCCATTGTGCATTCATTTAAGGCATTGAGTGGACCACCAGTGCAAATTTCATTAGATTTAATATAACACTTTGTATTTATGAATTCTGACACCACTATCTTCGTTTGCATTTAATTTTAATTCAACAGCAGATCAGAACTATTGTTCAATATTATCACTGGGGCGATTGATACTGATAAGTTGATTAATGTAATTTCCTTACTAGACAAACAGTATGTGTCAAGTAGCTTTATAACCTAAGTTACACTGAGAGAAATGTGATGGATGTAAAATGAAAAATGGGTCCAAGGTAAATTACTCTGATATAAGGATAAATATTTACAGAAGTGTATCTAACAACATTGTCAGTTCTGCTTATGGAACGCTATCTGATCAGTTTTCACTGTAGGAAAAAAGACCTACAGAGGTTTTCAGCATCAATACAGCTGTTTTATTATTTGATTCTGACAGTACAGAAATGGTAGAAATGAGGCTTACATGTTAGTGAGTTGTGTACGGTTTACACTGCCAACACAATTATTACAACATACAGCTGTCAGGAAAAGCCACATCAGCATTGATAAAGGAACTGATCAGCTTCATCTCTGCTTCCTGTAGTCATGCCACGGTTTACAGAGCAAGTGGAGTCTGCAGTGGAAGCCTTGAGTGCAAACCCCTCACAGCCTGTGGATGAGAATGAATTCATTGATGCATCGCGCCTGGTGTATGATGGCATTCGTGACATCCGTAAGGCTGTCCTCATGATCAGAGTAAGTTGCACAGTTTTGTTTTTGTTTGCCTGTTTTTTCTTTCTTTTTTCTTTTTCTTTTTAAAAAAAATCTAATTTATTATTTCTAATGCAAAGTAAGGCTTCATATTGTTATCTATTTTTTTCTCTTTCAAATTGTGACAGTGGGAGTTCTGACGGAGGATTTTTGATGTGGTTTTTAACAGCTTTTGAACAGAAGTCATATTCTTGGAGTTGCTCTATTGTTGCCCTATGAGTAGTAATATCCAGATTAGCTTTTTATCTATAATTGTGAGAACCTGTACACATGCAGTCTTGGGAACCTATGATTAACTTGTCTCAGGCAGTGGCCAACCTAATTGACCAGACTTGCAATTTTGGTAACAATGGGTTTAGTTGTCTGTGGCATAATGCCTTTTACTTGAGTCGAGCCACAATTTGGACAGTAGTAAGTCATTGTGTCCCATGGATGAAGAAAACATTTCCATCAGGGTAAAATGTTTCATCATAAGATCACTATGAACAGTTTGGGCATTCAATCACAAATGGATTCAATCCATATTTCCTCTAAAATAAAGAAAAGTGAAGGGGGGGAAACCCACACAGCCTGTAGGAAATAAGATTCTGGGGGAATTTTTTGTCGTCTTTCACCCCCTGTAGCTAAAGTACCTGAAACTGCCAAATTTGATTTCTCAGTAGGGAGCAAATTTCTTTAAACCACTTGTCATGTTTAACAGTACCAAATAATGTATTTATCACACTAAGATACAAAGTGCTGGTTGCTGTCTTCTATTATTTTCAACACATTTTTTTTTTTAATCGAAAACACTAGCCTTGTGAGCACATTTTGTTTTGACAGTGATCCTTAACTCTTACTAATAATCCTGCTCAACCACAAACAAAAAAAGCAATAACAAATGAAAAGAGGAACATTATCCTGCTTTTGCATTTTAATAAGTGAACGATTTAAGATGGAGGGTTTAATTGGCTTTCCTTAATTGAATTGCAAGCCGAAGAACTATATTTTCATCAATTTCCATCTGCCCAAGCTCCACTCTTACCCTTTTTGTTTCTAACCCAGCGGTGAACATTGGGCTTGTGGTTTGGGCTGAACACTACCTGGTAGATTTGTGGGCAGGTGTAATTTGGCACGTGTGACTGTTAACAGGACTTATTAAGCAGCTTTGCTCATAATGTATCTGTTAGCTTTATTCTGCCTTTAAGTGCCAGCTGGAGAGACTGATGAGATTGAACCTTCACCCACCACTTTCTAGAGAAGGCAAAGGAAAAAAATGGATTAGTGTTATCTCTGCATTTATGTTATTTCCAGCAGCATCTACACAGCACACGCTTTAATCTTAGTCTTAATTACTGTTTGTTATAATAAGATTAAAGGCGTATCAAAAGCATTGATCTAGACTGATTCAATTGCAGGCTAAACTGTCATTCAAGGGTTTTTCTGTGGGCACGTTCAATTCTGAGTCCAAAGAAATATGAAATCCTCCTAACAGCTGCGCTGAGATGGCCACGAGACAGCTTCTCTTCAGGGCATGTCCACTCACATGTACAAACCCACCCTCTTGCAGTCTTTCTAAAAATCCCTACATGCAACGCCCTAGTCTTAAATCAAAACAGACAAGAGTGTGGTTGGGGCTGCTTAAGATAGACTCATCTTTAACCTCTATAAGTAGTGCACAGACAGTCTGTTAGATGTCCCTTGAATATTTGACAGGCGGACAGACCCCTCTCCCAACCTCCAGTGACATCAGAGAATATGCCTCCTAGACATGAAACGGTCTCGAAGTCAGCGAGCCACTGACAGTTAGATACAGAGGGCAGCTGTTACCGTATGATTTGTGCGGTGCATCACAGCCCAAGGTGATTTTGCTGCCTCTGTCCTAAAAGAAGAGAAAATTGTCTCGACCCACAGAGGCTATGAGCAGAATGTCACAAAAAGAATAAAACTGGGGTTATTTCAGTGTTGAACTGTCTCATTCATATTTACGACAGGAGGAAAAAAAATTCTGGTTAAGGCTATGTCTGTTTTCCAGCTGTGTCATAATGCTATAATTTCATCTCTTGCCCTGTACACTTATAATTATTGCATTTCAGATATCATCTGTACATGTATGTGTCATGAAGGCGTTACAGGTGACATGGATAATTGCAGCTTTCAGACACAGTAGAAATACAGAATTATCACCTAAAAACCTGATTAACATATTTTCCCACAATGTGGAAAAAGTGGGTTTTAACTTCATTTTACCTTGACAGCAGGTTTTCAATATGTTGTCTTTTTTTAGACTGCAGGCTATTGTTGTCACTTCTCACAGTAGTTTCCCACTGGGTGCCCACCATGAGTTATGAGTTCTGAGCCTCCCACGTTCACAGGTTATCTGTTGCACAGGCCGCAGCAGGTGATATCTCTGCCCCACTGAACAGCATTGTCTGAGTTGAAAGCGATGCCGATGAGTCACTACAGCTTTTGTATCTGAAACCATACCCATATTCCCTTGAGTACAAGAACATCTCTACATTCCCTAAAGCACAGTAAGGTTGTTCAGAGACTTTCAACTATTTTTTCATTACAGAAAGGAGGTAGTGAGACAGCCGGATAAGCACAAGCCAGGGCGTCTGCATCCTAATGTCCCTTTATCTGTCCACATCATCTCCCCTGTTCCTACATATCAACTAACTTTTGCCTATCACTTAATATTGCATCTTGCCTGAAGCATAACCGGCAAAGATAAAGTTCATTTTATATATTAATAATATGGCAAATTGTTCCCTGTGGCTTGTTTTGCATTCAGGGCAAGAGGTAAAGGATCTGAGATGAAGTGGCAAAATTCTGGAAAAACACAATTCATGCCTCACTCGCCTTTCTACAGATAGCGACAGATGGGCCTCTAAAGTGTTTTGCTCCCAATATGTTTCGTACCAGCTCATACCTTCATTTTCCCTCTCAAGATGCACAGGCAGCACATTACACTTGATTTACAAATTCATTTGGAGTTTACAGTTTCTCTACCAAGCTGTGGAGAGGGTAGACATTTATCTCATGCTGCCCTGTCTGGCAGCACTAAGGCATTTCTCATAGATAGTAAGCAGGTTTGTTATTTAATAGTGTTCACAATGCTGTAGTATGCCAATATTATTTTATGTTCCCCACTTACGTACAAACAGCTTTTTCTTACCTTATTCCACTTCATCTCCCATTTTTCTTTTTTCCCCTCCTCCTGGACTTTTTTTTTTTTTGGATGTTTGTCTTTCTTTTGACATCTTCTCATGCTCTGTTGTCCTGTTACAGACTCCAGAGGAATTGGATGACTCTGACTTTGAGACTGAAGACTTTGATGTTCGCAGCAGGACCAGTGTGCAGACAGAGGATGACCAGCTTATTGCTGGCCAAAGTGCACGGGTATGTTGTTCAGAGGTTCTGATTCTGTATTTACTCCTCTTCCTCTAAAACGAAGGGTCATCAAATTGCAACAATACTTTGGGAAAAATTGTGAAATATCCCAGAGAGAAACACATCTCAAATGTATTTTCCTATGAGAAAATGGGTTGCTTCAGTTTGCAGCTTAACTGTATTTTTACATGGTTAAATATTAGCTTTACAAGATTGTGCATGTTTCAGTATCACAGTTGAATATTGTCATCCAACTCTATAATTTTTTTTTTTAATATGGTAGGTTTAAAAATATACTTGAGACAAATGTCACTTAACTGGTGCAATAACATCAATTGGAATAGTTTATTTGAAGAGCAATTTCATATCTCTAATGAAATTTGAAGATGAGAAAAGTAGAACCAATACATTAGTCTTTCTATATTTGCAGGAAATATTTAGTCTTTTTTGACGGTGTTCTAATATTAATGCTGTCCCAGCCATTGTTTATTTTTCAAACACTTCACCCACGTACTTGGTGATGATGGCTTGTCTTCTCAATAGCTCAAGTTATGGGGAAAAAAGGTTTAACCATATAGAGCTCTTATATTCAACTTAAAATGGACCTGTTATGCTTTTACTTACTTTCTCTGTTTCTCAAAGAATGGATAGATATAGATGAGTATGACACTTTTTGGCTAATGCTAAAAGATGAGCTGTTCTATCGATACAGAGCAATGCTGGAGGATCAAAACTTTACATGAGTTTTAAGGAAACTGGCATCTTTAAAATATTTTTCTTAATATTTGGCCCCATTAATCTATCATTAAAATATTATTGAAGAAAAGCGTCATAGTAGCCAAGCAGCTTTTTTTTAAAATTCTGAGTCATGCAAGCTCTTGTGCACACGTAAACCTGTTTATAAGCTATATTAATTACCCGAAGACAGTTGGTGACTCCAGAATAACCTTTTGCTCACTCATTTTAACTGTTTTAAAAATAGTAGAGGGTTTTCACTGCGAATGACCTTTTTAACAGTATTCATGGCAACAGAGACATTCTGCACTCACCTTTAAGCATAGATTGGAAATATGATAAAAGCAGACAAATATAAAGCTCAGCAGCAACACATGTATGCAGATGAGTTGGAGAAATTTTCAATTTTTAAGAAATGACGATAATAAGTCAACTTTAAAGTACTGACTTTGTGTGAATTACGTCCTCCAGTTTGCTTTCCTTCAGTCATCCATGCCATCTGGCTCTTAGATACCATGTCACAGACGGAACCAGTGAATTTTTGTTGACTGAGCAGTCTGCACTCTGTGAGCTACCTAAAAAGACTGAGCAGCTAGTTATTTTGTTTCTTTCCCTGCGTGGTGTAACACACTGCGAATCCAATCTTTTGTGCCTCTGGACAGCAGCTTTGTGTGTTCTTTTGTCATGAGATTACTTCAATACAACATTCACTTGGATAGGACAGAACTGCAGGTCTACAGTATTTGTACTACACGCCAAATCTGTTAAATTTAAGGTTAAACTTACTTGTAACTTTATATTTTAAGAATATAGAGAGATTGTACATGTCTTGATCTCAAAAATCCCTCATGGCTCCATCGGTACATTTCAAGTGTTTTTGTTGTTGTTGTTTTTAAATCGCCAAAGATGATCTATTTTGTTAGGTACAGTCTTTCCATCTGTGCACTGCATAAACAGCTCTTTTGAAGCTTATGTGCCTCTAGAGAGAGGGTCCCATTTATCAGCAATAGAATGAACACTTGTGTGATGATATTGGATTTCCTGCTCTTAAGTGTCTGCTTACTTTGGCCTGACAGGCTCATTCACTGAATGGCTGATGTCTGATTGCCTTTTTTTGGAAGCTGCCCTCTTACTCTCCAGTCCAAAAGGATGGATAAATATGGTGATAAATACATCTTAACGTGAATAAAGTAGTTGTAAATAACTCCCCTTATACTGGTCTTCAGTGGCCAGAGGTGGTGAGTTCATATTTTTCCAAGATATGTTACATATGACTCACTCGCTCTGAACATAATTTTGAACCCAGCTTTGAATTTTGGGGATGAGAGAACAATATTTTCTTATTTATTCAGAGGCTACTTCATGCAACCATTATTCAGGCACATTGCTGAAAAGCAATTTATACACCAAATAGTGATCAATTATGCATGTGTTTAAATTCTAAATAAAGGGTCACACAGTTGTGTAGGACATCCTGCTGCCTTGGTATTCTCAGGCATGGTTTCAAACAAGACTCACTCATGGATTATGGCCGCCAAACTTATGTTCATGGTATCAGCAACAGTATGTTTAGGTCTAGTTTGCTAACCAGCCATGCTTTTCATAAATCCTCCTTCAGGCAATCATGGCTCAGTTGCCCCAGGAGCAGAAGGCAAAGATTGCTGAACAGGTGGCCAGCTTCCAGGAAGAGAAGAGCAAGCTGGATGCAGAGGTATCCAAGTGGGACGACAGTGGCAATGACATCATTGTGTTGGCCAAGCAGATGTGCATGATCATGATGGAGATGACAGACTTCACCAGGTGAGTGTTAGTGGACTGCTTTAAAGAATACCTTTGATTGGTAATTACTGTCATGTACTTGCACGGGGACAAAATATGTGCCGCATGTCAACTTCCCCCTTGCTCGCATTAATATTCTGTTGTGCACTGCAGGCAAAATGCCTTCCAAGTCAGATTGCATATTTAACTTAAGCCTGTGTCAAATACAATCAGCCAGTAAGCCTACATTTGTTTCCCCAACATTTGCCCATATCTGCACAATGCTGTGCACCTAGTTTAGCAGTACCATTCATGCATCAGTGCCCTTTTCCTTGAGCAGCACTGTTGGTAGGATTTTGTTCTTGATTATTTTTCAGTCCTCCTTTAATCTTAGTATGCACAGCCATAAGCAGTGTGTCAGATCTCCCTCTCTCCTGGTACATGAATAAAGCTCTGGAAGTGGGGATTCTCCATCCACAGAGCTGCTCTAAAGTGGCTGTATTCACTCTTGGTAAATGGTTCAAGAGGTGAAGAGCTCAGCGGGGACAGGTGAGACATTTTACACCAAAAAAGAGAGACTACATTTGAACTATGGGTCTAAGGAAAGTAAAATAAAGACCTGGTAAATGTCATGACTTAATAATGTTATAAGCTGTTCAGCCACTTGTAATTACTAAATCAGCATTTTGTCAACATGCAAACTACTTGGAAGTGAAAGTGAGCCTGAAGTAAGTAGTAGATTCCCAGTGTTTCTTTTACTTGTACACACTCTTTTTTTGTGCACATTTGGGGCACGTGTTTTTATGCTATAGATGGTGAATAGTGCCTAAATTTGCTAAACTTCTATGATGCAAACTCTGTATCAGCAGCAAAATCAGAAAAGATTGACCTTAGTGTGTTGAGCCCAGATAGTCTTGTAAACAGATAGTAGCAAATGTAGTTAAACATGGCCTTATCCTGAAATTTTTGTCAAGTCTGTTTTAGTGAACCTGTTGACATAAGAGATCTCGCCACTCTTGGCTCTGACTCTGCAGCAACACACACGCACCTTTGTACAGAAGTAGCAGCCAGTACCCTCCAAAGGCCTCATTAGAAATTTGGCTCTTTTTCAGTTCATCCTGGTCTTTGCCATTTGCTAACAGATTTGTTGGCTTTCACTTCACATCAAAACGCATCAAACCATAAACAACAAATTCAGTGATGAAGTTCTCAGTGCTGCATGTGACGCTTTCTTTGTTGTTGTTTCATTGTTGGATATACAAGTAAGTTCAGGACCTTGAAAATTCACAAAGGATGTGATACTGGCTTTTTCTCTCACCCGCTGATGATAGAAAAGTGCGAATCGTGACCCTTGCCAAGTACACAGTGGGGGCTTGTCCGAAGAGATTACTGATTATGGTTCACCAACATCACCATCTCTACATTACCTTCTAGCTTACAGTGTGAGTGCATTTGGATGTTGGCATGCACAAGTGGACATTTTGACTGGCTGCCTGTATTTGCGTCTGACTATATTTGTATGGCTGTGCCTTTTTAAATTTTCAAGCGAATTACTCAGAGGACATTGTGTGTCTAACTCTGAGTCACCTCCGTAATGATGATGAAATGCTGCCTCTCTATCTTCATCTTCTGAATGGGTCAAAGATCCCATCTCCTTGGCCAAAAAAGTGAATTGCTGGAAAGCTGTAGAGGATTTGAAATACTGACATAACCAGCAATCTAACCAGGGTTAAATAGGAACCAGCCATGTTTGCTTGCAGTACTTCTTATTCATGCAGAGGATTAAGAGAAAATTTTTACATGACATGCAGATGATACTGCTCATCCTGGACTAAAATCAGTGCTTTTTAGTGAACTCAGACAGCAACATGCCTACTTCAGCTTTCATTATTTATCTAACAAATGCATTTTATCATTCGAAAAATTTTTAGTTATAAGTTTTCAGCCAAAGATTGACAAAGCTATAATAAAAATAAGCATGACTAATAAATCTTCGAGAATTTCAGTCAGTACTTTAATACTAAAATGGCAGTATGAATGTGAGTGAACATTTGATGAGTTGCTTTGTTTGTAGCCTTTCACCTCTCTTACAGTTTCCAAAATGAAACCACAAAGTCAATTTATGAACCCAGTTAAACTTCAGTGAATGGTAACTCATGGACTATTGTTATGTGAGTAATAAAAGAAGAGAAATGCTGTGCTCTATTAGATAGAAAATGAGGCACCTTCATGAATGTGATGAGCTGCTGACCTTATATGCAATTTCTTTATTTATCCTTTGAATATTTGAATTTAATTTATACATATAAGTCATACTTCTTCCAATTAGCACATTATATCCTCTCTGCTATGTTACTGACATTTGAAATAAATTGAAAATGATGCTTTGCAAATAGTTTTAACAGTCCACACAGTAAATGTGTGCAAGTTGTTCATTTAATCCCATAACTTAGCATTGTGGCTTTTCTTATTTGGCACTGTCAGTGAGTTTGGAATTGACTCTGTATACGCTCGTCTCACATGCGTCCGTGTATGTGTGCGCGCGGGTTGGTCGACTGAGGGAACACGCATGGTCATTTGTCAGGCAGAATAAATATCTTCACATTATGCCTTCACTCTCACATGCAGTGGTAGCACATGGAAGGTCAGTAGTTGGCTAATTCAGCCCGCGTCCAAATTATTGCCCCCACAACCTTGAGCTGGCACAAAGCACTGCCAAGGTTAATGCTGTATGAGGTAATTGATCCAGACCTCCCTCCTGACAAATCTGCAGAGAGTGACTGAGATCCTTGTTGACTCTGCATCGCTTATGGCTGTATGGCAGCTCTCATGAATAAGGCATATGTGTATAGCTTGAGAACATGCAACATATTTGAAAGCCACCTGTCACAGTCTTTTGACGTGGGATGCTTCACATTGACACGCGGACAGCTGTGAGGGCAGATATGGAAAATGATCCTTTAATTCTTTTGCTTTAAACAATTTTTTTGAGGACGACATCATAGGTATATATTCGCAGTATAAAAATTATTACCGTGCTTATGTATTCTAATGTGTTTTTTGGGGGCAAACTTCTGTATTATATTACCAACCTACAAATCTTTTTCTAAATATCGTCACAGCCCCGTTAGCTCCATCTCCAGGGGTTGACTTGTCCCCAGGGAGCTTCCAGTATGTGCACTGACGCGTGGCCTTTTCCACTAGGACTCTGGCTTGCTTTACATCAGAGCAGCAGAGGGAGAGCATGAGAAGGGAAGGGTTGGAGATGAGAGGGGAGGGAAGAGGAAGCAAGAGAACAGAACACAAAATTCCATCTGTTCTGGGTTGGATGGCTCATTTTTTAGCCTGAAGAGAGAAGCTTTGAATCCAATTTGTGCCTCTTGCCAACTGTGTCCCAGAGTCCCTTGGGGGGGGGCAGAAAAGTGGCAAATGGCTGATAAGCTTTACAGTGGGTCAGGTCAGGGCTGGATTGACCTGTGCTGGGATGGGCTTTGTTTGGCTCAGGACGGGTCAGAAATGGATGTGTAATACTGTGGCAATGACCAAAGCCCTTAAATTGAATTGAATTCCAATTTTGCTGCTTTCAATTCTCTTGCCTTCTCTTCCTGCCATCTTTGTCTCCAACTCGGATGGGGAAAAAGAGAGAGAAGTTGGTGTGTGAAAGAAAAACTTGGATACTAATTGATAGTGCAAAAACAAATAAATTGGATTTAAGACTCATTCAGTAGTATGTTGACAACTTTACATGGCAGTGCTGCATGCAGACGGGCAGACAAACCCTGGAAGAAGTCAGTAAAGTTTCCATTTGAGCAATATTAAAAAGTTATCAACCTGGCTTAAGAATTACCCAATATAAACAAACCGAACCTCAGGGGCTCACAGGCTAGTGTCCTTTTAGTGCTGGTGCCAGGCTCGGATAAATGGGAGGGTTGCATCAGGAATGGTATCCGGTGTCAAGTCTGCCAAATCAAGTATGCTTGTCCATCCAGTGTGACATTCCCTTGGAAAATAAGGGAGTAGTCTAAAGTACTTTGTCCGATAGCCATATTAGCTGTCTTCAAGTTATCATTACGTTAAGGCTTGCAATGGCAAATAATAAAACAATGTGGGAGTGTTGCAGCAAATGTAATCAGTTGCATCCATGTGTAACATAAATGGAGATTGTTAATTTAACAGGGTAACACAATTATTTGTTTATTAAAAACTGTTACACTTCTCTAGAAGTGAAGATGAGAAAGTCTTCCAGCAACTAGAGACGAGCAGTGGCAGCTTACCGTACCAAGTATGGAGCCAAGTGACCAGAAGCACAGAACTACCTCGGCAACCTAAAAATATTTTAACTTATTGCACTATTGCGCAATCTTTATCCAAAAAGTCTCTTGCCCCTGTGTTATCAACATTTGTCCTGTGTCTTAGAAACTTTTAAGCAACTTTGAAGTGTTTTTCACAGTGCTAAGTAGATTTTTCTTATATTTTCTGTTGTGATGGAAAGCACGTGGTGCTATATAATGGCCTCTAGACAGTTTATTTCCAAGCAGTTTGTGGAGAAACAAAGTGTCAGTTTATCAGTAAATTTTATGCATATTTTTTTCAACCTAATATGCGTTTTATTAGACTGAACACAAAGGAAAAATGAGTTGAAAACTCGATCTTATAAGAAGACACGTAGGTGCTACAAGAGTTTGATGGTGCAGTGTTATGGTCCAGTTCTTTGAGAATAAACTTAAAGTCTAACCTCTGTGACTTTAAAGGACTATAACACATTCTCATCCCTGACGGAACAGCATGATGCCAGAGTGTGTTTTATGTGTATGGACATGTGTGTACCAGCGTGCACTTTGAATTTGGTGCCGTTTCCCTGAGGTGTTCCCGGTTCACGATACATTCTTGCTTCTGACCGAAAAAGAGGCCTCTAAAACAAACAGCTGCTCCTGCATATTGAATGAGCTTGCAATAGATCAAAAACAGTCACTGATCTTTCCACGTCTTCTCCTCAGGGGAAAAGGGCCGCTGAAGAATACGTCTGATGTCATTAGCGCTGCCAAGAAAATTGCTGAGGCAGGATCAAGAATGGACAAGCTGGGCCGCACCATCGCTGACCATGTAAGTTAATATAAATCTGTAGACTACAGCTTTATTCTTAACATCTGAGTATGTTTAGCTTCGTAAGGTAGTAACATAAAAGATTTTGTTCTGTTTCAGAACATTTTAACACATAATGTAAAATGGGACCAATCTCAGATCAGTGGCACGTTTCAGACTACATGGAAAAATATTAACATTTTGATTAGTTTATCTAATGCTACAAATTAGATTAGATGTTCATCATTTAAAGACAAACAAACACACAATTTTAATTGAAAATGGTGAAGGTCAGCCTGCTGGCATTGGAATACTCTTGTTTATTTTCTCTAAAGTCCTATTCATTCATATCACCACATCTTTCCGTGCATTACTACATTTGGCTATTACTACATTGGATGCAAACCCCTCCCCTAAGAGTTCCTTTGGCACCCTGTGATCATGTCTTCTAAAGTTGTTTTTTTTTTGTTTTGTTTAAAAAATAAATAAATAACAGTAGTACATAACAATTTGTGTTTCAAGTTACATGGTGGTGTTCTGTCAAGGTTTTCATTACCTGAATTTGCAAAGTTTTTCTTTTTTTTCCTTTGACAAAACTTTAACAGACAAAAACAGAAAACATCCGCTACACAAATTACTTTTCCCCCATGCTTCTTTCTTTTATTTGTTCTTTTGTCTATTTAGAAGCAAATCAAAGAAACAGGCTTGCGCTGTGGGGTCCTTTCAGACATTAACTGCAAAGTGTTGTGTGACTGTGATGCAATCCTTACCAGCATTTACCATTTCTTTCAGTGTTAAACCCTCATTCTTCCATCTCTCCCTCCCACTTCCATCACTTGTTCACATCTATTCCCTGCCCCAGTGACTATGGTCCTTGACATCAGGAAACACACATTCAATTATCCATGGCCTCATATTTCACTTAAATACTTGCACTGTAGCGCTCCACAGGGAGACATGTTACATGATTTATCTCCCAACTTATTCATGTGCCGTCTCTAACGCTGGGGCTTACTTTTTTTCCTCCAACATGTATACATTTTGGCGTTAAATCATGGAAGAGTTTAGTTATGATGTTTTCAACAAGACACAGTTGTCAGTTTGAGGCTTTCTCCCTTAAATACATCACTTGCTTTTTGTGGTTTGACTATAATAGCTGTGGGTTTTGTCAACTTGTATTCAAGAACACAGTCACTCAGAAAGGCACTCACTCATTTTAGATGTCGAAGCCAACGAGTTTTATCAAAACTTTAACAGTTCTTTTACGCATGATAATATAGGTGAAATGCTGCAGAAGCTGGAAGGCTGCTTGTTTCTTTTAGAGTTTAAATTACAAGCTGATTTGGGATTTATCCGTTTCTTATTACTTACTATACATGTACTTTAACTGGCGAACTGCCAATTCCTGTAACCTTTATTTCCCCTCTGACTCAAATGGGAAGAGGTTTTTCAGGTATCCTTTCCATATTTCCTGCACAGGGAGAGGTTGTGGTTATTCCTTCTTGTAGCAGAAACATCTGCATTCAGCTTTAAGCAGATTCCGCCCCCCATAGTCTGACATAATGAGCTGCTGGCCTCCTAATACCCTGCACATCTGATATTTTATTTAAGATGGCCTCAGATCTTTAATATTACAACCCCACGTCTATCAAAAAGTAACAGTGCTACCTGAACTGACCTAATTGCATTTGAATCATCTGAATAGGGAATAAGCTCTGGAAAGTGACTTTTATATGCCTCAGTGCTGCTTTTGAAGATGCTTATTCACTTTAATGAAAACAGCGCTATCCCCCAAAGAAAACAGATGGGTAACTGTGCAGGTGTGAATGTGCATATCTGTGAGTGCATGCCTGCATGCAAGCATGTCTGTTGACTGACATGCTTCTCCATTTGGCGGTTTGTGTGTGGATGTGTTAGATTCAGGTACCTATTTTGCGTTTATGTACTAAACTCGTTGTAGGTACTTGTTTCTTTATCTTTTCTGTGTATGTGTGTTTTGGTTATGTGTACGCACTATGAGAGGATTTGGGGGTTGGAGGCACTCAAAGTATGAATAAATGAAGAGCTTTGGCTGTTGAAACAGAAGTCTTTGCCAAGAGTGAGGACCCCTTCAGCCTCTGAACCCATCCAGCTGTCCCTCTTAGCCTTTCTCTCTCAGCAGAGACCAAAACACTAGCAGATCAGGCGACACTCTCCCATAACACATCAGCCAAGGCTCCCAGGGATGGACATGGGGTAGAGACGAGGGGAATGATGGAGATGGGGAAGAGCGAAAAAGGGGGCATTGCATTTGCGTTGAGAGAGGTATGTCTCTCCTGAGAGATGAATCTATTAAGAGTGCTTCGCCTTTTAATTAGCAGCATAATTGCCAGGTGGCCGTTTTTAAAAATGTATTTAAGCAGGCTGTTTATTTTTAGGGCCATATCTTTAACAAAGCAGGAGATGCCACAGGCCCACTTGCAGCAAAGGCAATGTGCTATAGGATGGTCTGCATACTCCATCAGCAATGGTTAAGTGAATCACTACCAGGATGCACATAGACTGACAGAGTCTGAGAAGCAAAGGCAAAGCTGAGACTGCTCATTAACCTAGGCATATTAATCACTTGCGCTCTGTGCCTCTGGCCTGCAGGGCCTGTGAGGGTTTGCTCCTCATATAAAACACATTGGCAGATGGTCCCAGACTGATAGCACAGCATCTCACCCCACATTTCTTCTTTGTACAACTGTGTCATGATATGCTTGGTACACGAGTGCTGTGTTCAAAAGAAATGTGCAGGTGGACACGGTCTAGTTTGGGGTTTTTGAGAAACTGTTAAATATGTGTAATGGAGCCTTATTAAAATTTAAAGAAATGAGTGTAGTGCAGAGATGAGCTGCAGGATTTAGGTCATTGCTGTACAAAGGTCTGCACTGCAGTTTATTAAGAATTTATGACCCTCCTCTGCAGGGCACCTTATGAGAATTACATCTGAGGGGCCAGTAAGCAAATAATGCTATGTAATTGAGATTTATAATGCAAATGTGTTAGCCACTATGTAGCCTATAAATTGCAGCTGCTTGCCTTCTTACCAACACTTGCATGTACACATGCAAACACGAGCACATAAAATAAGGCTTACATATTTGGAGAATAGGCATGCACATGCTGTATGCATTTGTTGCGCAAGCTTTATTCTCCTGATGTTTACTGACATACATAATGTACTTTTCCAATTTGCATTCAATCAGTAAAGATTTATGGTGATCCACTGGCTCTGTCGCTGGTCAGTTTGATCCAGGCTCCGGTCGTAGACACTGTACTCAGGCAGGGTTATAAATTACCTACTGCAGAGAAGAAGGAAAGTCATCCAGAGAGCCCACAAATTCTCAACTCAACCACCAAATGAAGATTTCTTTTTTGGATTTCTTTTTTTCTAACCAAGCACCGTCAGCTCCCATTCAGTTGCATTTTATTATTTTCATCCATCCATATGTTGCACTTGTCCATTTCAGAGTTCCCGGGGTTGCTCCCCAGCTACCATAGGGCAAGAGGTGGGGTACACCGAGGACAGGTTGCATGGCCGACACAGGAAAAAACGGTCAACCATTCACACTTGAATTCACACCTATAGTGAATTCAGAACCAGAAACTATTTGCTTTAGAGCGTCAAAGTTAAATGTAAGTGTTTTAACATGAGCCTCTCTAGCCGTGCTAAGTTATCAATTTTGCTTACAAGTCCGACAGTAAAATGCCTGACTGACAGGTGAAGTGTGAACATTAAAAATTGATGAGGACCTTTTAATTGGTCCCTGTGGTTACCTCGACAGTTTTTTTTGTTTTTTGTTTTTTTTTTTTGTTTTTTTTTCCTGGTGTGCTCCCAGCTTGATGTTCTCCTGTCTGCTTCAATGTCAAATTAACATTCCCAAGTGCCAGTATGATTGAATCAGCCCAAACCAAATACGGAGCTTCTTTTTAGCAGCTGCAGTTAAGAAATGTAGCTATCATCACATAGTTTAAAATGAACTGTTGGTTGCCCATGGCAGATTTATTCTTGACCCTCAATAGTAATAGAATCAGCACTAGCTTGGTAAAGTAAAAAAGAATGGGCTTTACAATTAACCTTTACTGGAAAGATTTCTGTGAACAGAAAGCAAAGGAATATCCACTTGATCAGAGGTCTTACAAAGAAGATGCAGGGCTGCAGGATAGTACACTACCAGTATACTGATGGAGTCCACTGTTTTAATTTGTTTTTTATTGTGTTCATTTATCTTGATGCGTGCTCAATAGGGATGGGTATCGAAAACCGGTTCTTGTTGAGAACCAGTTCCCACTGTTTCAATTCCTTGGAATTGTTTGCCATTTTTGCAAACGATTCCCTTATCGAGTCCAGTCGCCCTGAATGACGTCACCACTTTGCGGAGCGTCATTTACCTGGCAGGAAACATGGCGGCTCAAACGTTCAAAAGTTTGGTTATACTTTACGAGAACAGATGACAACAGGACAACTTGCAAAGTAGATATTTCATTTAAGGGAGGAAACACTACGAATATGCAAAAGCATTTGCTCACAAAACACGCGACAACCTTAAATGAATGTCGTGATTTTAATTCCGCTCCAGACTCGTGAATCTCAACCCAGCAGCAGCGGTAACGTTTGTACGTCCTCTCCCGTTAATGCGGCAGGTAAATAATCAACGAACAGTGCATATTATGTTTATTATAAAACCTGCCATTACTGTGCGCTGCATTTAGGTGACCATGATGAGAGAGACACAGTCTGGCTGGCTCAGATGCTGGCAGTTCTCGCTGAAGTTTACCGGTAGCGTCACCTTTCAGGCCAGGATAGACGAATGTCACCGAGCAGTGACTAAGTTTGTGGTAAAAGCCTTGGACCCATTTGCCACAGCAGATGCCCCTGATTTTCAGTAAGTGTATGTGTTTAATTGTAGGCAGGGATATTACTGGATATTCTCGTTTAATTGCTACTGAACAATTTATGTTATACTTTGTTATTGCTACAGAAGAATATTTATTTT